TACCGGGTGGCTAAGCCATATCATTTTCCTTGCTATCAAGGGTGATATCCTACTGTAGGCTGATGCCTCTTACAAAGAGCAAAACCTATACAGTATTTTGATACGCATAAATGCTATTTTAAGCCTTGCCTTAAGGCCTGTTTACACTTCAATGATAACGATATAAAAGCTAAAAAGCAATTGTTCATATAGAAAATAAAAGAAATAAGTGTTTACACTAGAATGATGCGATAACAACATATTTTGACAAATCATTTCAGATGACATCATAATCATGGAAAAAACATTAAAATCATCGTAGTAGCAATGATTTTATCGTTTGTCCATGATTATGACGTCATCTGATTTGATTTGTTAGAATATTTTGTTATTGCATACACGATAAATCATTATAGAATCGTCCTAGTGCAAAAACTTCTCTTATTTCTTTTGTTTTCTATATGAACAATCGCTTTTTAGCATTTTTATCGTTATCGTTGAAGTGTAAACAGGCCTTTATACAGTACGCAAGAATATATGGTATTTAGGGATTAATCTTGATGTCATTAAAGGCTTGATTGGACTACTTGAAAAGTTAACCAGCACTGCACCAGGTTTAAGAGCTACCACGTATAGCATACCTGACGTACGCCCGGAGTCAATTTTAGAACGCGGGCGATTTTAAGCTGCATTTGTGCATAAGTGTGTATGAAATTTCATCTGCAACAAGCATGTGTCTCAAATACTAACATTAGCGTCATTCTGGACATGCTATGCTTGAAGTATTACTGTATCATCTGCCAAATGAGGTAACAATTAGCAATGAACAATGATTAAACACTTTTTCTTAAAATTCAGTTAGCAAACCTTGAGAAAAAGCAAGATGCAATCCTCAGAACTGAAGGAACACCAAAAATGGCAACATATTCATGACTTACACCATTACAGATGAGGATGGTGAGGCACATCTACGGAGATTTAAGACAAATAGCATCAACATCTGTTGAACACCCCTTTGATATGCTGAAATAGACTCTCCCAAGATATATTTGATATTTGCTGAAATCAAACAACAGGCATTGATTTGGCCACAAAAGTGTAGTCACCCAAGAAGCCAGGAACCACGCAGTCACCTAAGAACCAGGCAGTCACCCAAGAAGCCAGAAACCATGCATTCACCTAAGATATCGGATGCAATAAAGTCAGCCAAGATGCCAGATGCCATGCAATCAGAAAAGATGCCAGGTGCCACACATTCACCAAAGAGGCAAGGAAATAGGCAGTCACCCAAGACGCCAGGAACTAGGCAGTCACCCTTGAAGACGTCAGGAACAAAGCAGTCACCCAAGAATCTGGGATCGTCTGTTCGCTCATCCAAATGCAAGCCTATAACTCCAAGAAAGCAAAGGCTCAAGAAGAGATCAGAATTTATTACACATGCAAGGAATTTGGTGAAGAAAAAATACAAAAGGAAGGTAGAAGAGCTACAGTCCCATGTTGACTTTCAACGAGTACATCAAATTAAATACCTGAAGCAGGACATCAACCGCAAAAAGATTGTCATTGCAAAACAGAAGGCTTATATAAAGCTGCTTAATTCAAATACTGCAAATAAAGAGGAAGTCAATGAACTAAAAAATTAACAGAAAAAACACAGACGTACAGTGAAAATCCTATCGAAGTCTGCTGTGACAGATTCAGAATCAACTGATTATGAAATTCAACAACTGAAGGAGCAACTGAAAGTGAAGAACAAAGCAATCCAAAAATTGGAAAATGAAAATTTATGTTTGAAGGAAAGTATCTTTGGGTCACGGAAAAAATAAATACGACCTCTGCAGTGAAAACAATAGAGGGCTGTTGCAACAGTCGAGTCACTGGCAAAAATGATAGCGGTGCCACGATATCGCGCTCGCAACGGCCGATAGACACGTATCTACATTGTTTTTCTGATCCGGTGAACACCCCTACATATGCCACTGCTTTTGTTCTCCTTAACCCCTTTCACACAGAGCTGCAATACCTTTTTTCGAGAACGCCGGAGTTCTATGTGAAAGGGTAAATACGCCTAAACGCCGGCTTTAGTTAGACCTCCTCAGGACCTAGTATTAATACCGCATTAATACCGTAGCGAGTTTTGTCCAACCCGATGTGAAAGGGTACTAGGGTTCATCGCCGTCTTACGCACTGAGGCATAACAAATCAGACGGTCAAAGTGCGAAACTGTCGGTGAACGACGCGCGAAGAAAATTGGTTTTTAAATCTCATTTAACCTGTCAAATATGGCTGAAATGAGAGCCAATTGGTCAGGCGAAGAAGTAAGAGCATTACTACTTAATCGGGGGGATCAGGATATTGATGCCCAATTTGATGGGACAATACGTTCTGGAGTTTCAAATCAATCAGATCGTAGTTAGGCTAGCAGAGCAAGGCTTCACCAGGGCAAAAAAGCAAGTGATAACAAAGCTCAAGTCGTTGAAGTCAAAGTATTATTCTGTGAAGACCCTTAACAATAGAAGTGGCCAGAATCGGCATAGATGGACCTATTATGATTTGTGTGATGCTGTCTGGGGAAACAGGGCAAGTACAAATCCTGTAAATGTTGTGGCGTCTAGTAGGCCTAGGCCTAGTACTAGTAGTAGCCAGGGCCTAGGCCTAAGTCAAGATGACATCAGTCCTACTACTAGCAGCAGAAGCCCAGACATCAAATACTCCTTTCCGCGAGAACCCTTTCAGACAGGATACGGTATTATTACCGTATTTTAACTAGCTGTGTGAAAGGGTCTGATTAGGGTATTATTGCGGTATTTTCTGTCTGAAAGGGGTACTTGTGTGCTTTCAAATGTCTTATTCATTGAGGCATGTGTAAAAATGTTTAAAGACATTATGGCATATTATAATTAATTATTTGTAATTAATTAATTTAATTGTTATTAAATTAATAAATGATTGAATTCTTTTGTCCATTTTATGTGCTTCCAAATGCTTTTTATTTTATTGAGAAATGTATAGAAACAAAATTTAGACCATTTTTTGTACGTTTTTCAAGAACAAGGTCACATACTTATTCATTGTTTACATAGGATTTGAAGGGCCAAAATTAGGCATAATTAATAATCTCTTAAATTCTGTAACTTTGCTCATATTTGATGGATGACAATGATCTTGGTATCAATTTAATTCTACAATAATACTCTTTCAAATGATACTAGCTGAAAATGAATTGCTTGAATTTGAAATTTTTTGTACAATGTCCCAATAGACTAGACTCGCCACAAGTCTCTAATTTTAATTGGTTTTTCATAGAGACTAGGTATAAAGACTTTCGAAGAGCGCCACCAACGTCTGCTTATATCGAGAAACTTTTTAGGAATTAGAGACTTGTAAAAGAGTGAGTCAAATTAAATGCAGACCGCTGGCCGTGACAAACATGACGTAATTGTTAACATGCCGTATTTGGTCGATGGGGTGGGCCTCAATTAATGTTTATGTAAATATACACTGAAGGTCAACCAATCAAACGGTTCTCATTTTGGTGCCACGAATGTAGAGAGGATTGACCGTGAGCCGCCTAGGGGGAGGTTGATGTGTGGGAGATGGCATTTCTGCAGGTGTGTGAAAGC